TGGTCAGCTCTCAGCGCGTTCTGGCAGCTCGTTCTCGTGATGTGTCAGCTGATATGGCTCTGCAGGCAAGTCTTGCGTGCAAATCTTGCCATTCATGGATCTGGTGCATTGAGCATAGTGCCCGTCGGATGGCGCGGCTCTCTCCAGGGTACGCTGTGGTGGTATTGCCGCGTGTTGTAGGTCCAACGCTCCACACATCATCGCGGCTGCTTTGCTGGTCTGTAGGTCGCACCCTACCATTCTGCTTCGCAGGACCATGCTGGGTCGGCGGTTCACCCCACCAATCTGTGCTTCACTGTCTAACGCCGCCCTGGTGACTCTGTGGCCACCAGTTAGCACCAGGCTGCTTGCGCTTCAGTTCGCTCTGAGTTGAGTTTTCTCCTGCATGGTTTTTGGGCTTGCAGTTCCTCTGGCACACCCATCGCCTGCACTTTACAATTTGCGGCGCTTCGTACACTGTGCCTTCGGCAATCTGCTTCCCGCGCTCGAAGACCCTCTGCGCCGCCGACTCAAAAAATGTGGCATGTTTCAGGGCGGCCCGATCTGTGATTACCCTGGGGCCCGAAGCAGGGCGAGAACGCCCGGCTTCGGAGCTGCAGCGCTCGGAGCACTAAGGGGCGCTCGGAGCGCTCGGAGCTCTAAGGGGGCGAGGAGGGGTGGTGGTGGTGGCCACTGCATAAAGGAATCAAGTCCCGAGCAGAACAACACGCACCACGACCACGACCACGACGACAACGACGACGAGGCGCGCGGAAGATCCACACCGAAGCACGGGTTAGGGAAAGGGCCTGCCCTGCAACATCGGTGAACTAGCACATCGTTGAGCGGTGCTGCAGCCTCCCCTGAGCAAGTGCTCAAGGGGCTGCTGCTGATGGGGCAGCCTGCACGAAGTCAACGGACCTGCGTGCCGCCTTAGTCAAGGGCCCGCGTGCCGCTTCGTTCAGGTGTGAGGAAGGGTCCTCCTCCTCCTCCTCCTCCTCCTCCTCCTCCTCCTCCTCTTCCTCCTGCTCCTCCTCCTGCTGCTGCTGCTCCTCCTCCTCCTCCTCCTCCCTCCTCCCTCCTCCCTCCTCTTCCTCCTCCTCCTCCTCCTCCTCCTCCTCCTCTTCCTATTCCTCCTCCTCTTCCTCGTCCTCGTCCTCGTCCTCGTCCTCGTCCTCGTCCGCGTCCTCGTCCTCGTCCTCGTCCTCGTGCTCGTCTTCGTCCTCGTCTTCGTCCTCGTCCTCCTCCTCGCAAGTGCCCAGGTCCTCCGCGCCGTGCACGAGGAGCACGACCAGCGTGTGCGGCCTCCCGAGCGCTGGCTCCCTCTCGTTGCGCCCACAGACCCTGGCCCTCCCGCCGCCCCCCGGGAGCGACGAGTGTGGTGGGAGTGGGTTTCCTCCTCTCCTCCTCCTTCTCCCCTCTCCTCCTCCTCCTCCTCCTCCTCCGCCTCCTCCTCCTCCTCCCTTCTCTCTCCCTCCGCCCTCCTCCCTCCCTCCCTCCTCCTTTCTCCCTCCCTTTCTCCCTCCCTCCTCCCTCTCCTCCTCCTTTTCCTCGTCGTCGTCGTCGTCGTCGTCCTCCTCCTCCTCCTCCTCCTCCTCTCTCCCTTTCCCCTCATCCTTTCTCACTCCCTCCTCCTCCCTCCTCCTCCCTCCATCATTATACAATATGGATACCAATCTCCTTTCTCCCTCGACGATGTCCAGAGAGCGCCCTCAGAGTAGCCACCCCCTCCGCGTTTTTTTTCACACATGTTTTGGGCAAGCGAGGTTTCCTGATGTGTTTTCTTAATTCGTTCGGCTGTGCTCCTTCTAAAAATGGTGCTCTCGCTGCAGCGTGGGCCTCATTTTCGGATCGGCGATGTGATCCCGTCGTTGAGAATGGCGCTCCCGCCCCACCGTGCGCAATTTTCCTGGATCTCACAAGTCCCGCAGCTCCAACAAGTCTTGCAGGTCTCGCAGGCCCCACAAGGCCCACAGGTCTCGTAGGTTCCACAAGTCCCAGAGGTGTCGCGTGTCTCACAAGTCCCTCAATGGTCCCCCAGGTCCCACAAATAACGCAAGTCCCGCTGGGCACGGGATCCACATGTCTCGCAGGTCTCACGGGCCCAACAGTTCCCAAACTCCCGCAGGTCCCACAGGTTCCACTGGTCCTATAGGTGTCGAGGGTCTCACAAGTCCCACAAACCACAAAAACCTCCCAGACCGCACAGGTCCCGCAAGCTTCACTTTTCGACTGCGCATGCACGCTGGGGTCTTTTGTGGAGTTCCAGGTCGGCTATGACACGCGTCCGCGGATAGAGAAACCATCTGCGCAATGGAAAGGGATGGAAGGGAGGGATAGGATGTCAGATATGGCACGAGCGTGCCTAACTTGCCCCTACCTCCTCTCCCTCCCCCTCCCTCGTCTCCCTTCCTCCCTCCCTCCCCCCCTTCGACCATTTTCCTTGGTAGAGAACTCCTCCCTGTCGCTACCACAGGCGTGTCCGTAGGGCGGGTCGGACGTTTCGCCCGAGACCTTTATATAAGACCCCGAAGCCTGACATGCGCAATCATATCAGAGAGGAACGGGAGACCGTTTCCCGAATTGAGCTCTCGCTTCAGCAGCGCGCGCATTCGTCTTAAGCGTTCACAGCAACAGCGAAAGTGGAAGGGGGCAATTTCAATATTAGCCAGCGCAGGTTCCAACACGTGCAACATTGAAATCAAGTGGACTGGAGTGGGCTGGAACAAGCTGGACTGGAATAGACTGGACTGGACTTGGGTGGACTCTACTCCGCTCTACTCTGATCCCTACTCTACTCTACTCTACTCTGCTCTACTCTTGTCTCTACCCGCGCCAGTACATTACTCTTTCTTACCCGGATCTGCTCTATTCTGCTCTACCCTACCAGTGTTTTCCCATGCCACCTCCTGAGGAATACCAAGTTGTAAGCACCGCCTGTGAACCGCTGCATTAGCGCAAGCACCGCGGCATGGTTGTTTTCCAAGCCATCCTGTGGTGTTGGGAGACAGTGCCCCGCGTTCCTCTCCTCCTTCTCCTCCTCCTCCTCCTTCTCCTCCTCCTCCTCGTCCTCCTCCCCTCCTCCCTTCATCATCACCATCATCATCCTCATCATCATCATCAGCATAACTATTATCATCATTCTTACCACCATGATCATCATCATCGTCATCATCATCATCAGCATCGTATCGTCACCATGAGCATCATCACCTCTATCATCACCATCACCAGCACCATCACCTTTACCATCGTCATCATCATCATCATCATCACCATCATCATCATCATCATCATCATCATCATCATAATCACCATCATCATCAACATCGTCACCGCCATCAGCATCATCATCATAATCAGCATCATCATCGACATCGTCACCGCCATCATCATCATCATCATCATCATCATCATCATCATCATCATCATCATCATCATCATCATCATCATAATCATCATCATCATCATCATCATCGTCATCATCATCATCATCATCATCATCATCGCCATCATTATTCTTGTTATCATCATCGGTCTCATAAGCACCACCACCATAGTCATATTCGCCATCCTCCTCCTCACCATCATCATCATTATCGTCGTAATCGTAATCGTCATCATCAGCATCATCATCATCACCATCAGCGTAATCACCATCATCATCACCATCACATCGTCATCAACGTCATCATCATAATCATCATCATCATCATCAGCATCAGCATCAGCATCATCATCATCATCATCATCATCATCATCCCCAGCATCATCAACCGAAGCATAATAATCATCATCAACACCATCATATTAATATGTATCCTCATTCTCGTCCTCATCCGACTCATCCTCATGCTCCTCTTCCTCATCCTCATCAGCATCAGCATCAGCATCATCAGCATCATCAGCATCATCAGCATCAGCATCATCAGCATCAGCATCATCAGCATCAGCATCAGCATCAGCATCAGCATCAGCATCAGCATCAGCATCAGCATCAGCATCAGCATCAGCATCAGCATCAGCATCACCACCATCATCATCACCATCATCATCATCATCATCATCATCATCGTCGTCGTCGTCGTCGTCATCATCATCATCATCATCATCAGCATCATCATACCCCTCGTTCCCCCCACACGTTTCGTGACCCCATAGGAGCCCCACCGAAGGCCCCAGTTACAGGGTTCGCATGGCGGCCTCGCCCCATTTCGGCACACCCCTTACACATGTTTCGTGGCCCCAAGTGAGCTCCACCGAAGGCCCCTGTGGCAGGATTCCCATGGCCCCGCCCCATCTCGGCACATCCCTCACACGTTTCGTGGCCCCATAGGAGCTCCACCAGAGGCCCCTGTGGAAGGGTTCGCATGGCGGCCCCGCCCCATCTCGGCACTCTCCTCACACATCTCGTGGCCCCAAAGTGAGATCCACCGAAGGCCCCAGTGGCAAGGTTCGCATGGCGGCCCCGCCCCATTTCGGCACACTCCTCACACGTTCCGTGGCCCCATAGGAACACCGCAGGCCCCAGTGGCAAGGTTCGCACGGGGGCCCAGTCACATCTCGGCATACCCCTCACATGTTTCGTGGCTCCATAGGAGCTCCACCGAAGGCCCCTGTGGCAGGGTTCGCATGGCGGCCCCGTCCTGTTTCGGCACACCCTTCAAACGTGTCGTGGCCCCATAGATAGCTCCACCGAAGGCCCCAGTGGCAGAGTTCGCATGGCGGCCCCGCCCCATTTCGGCACACCCCTCAAACGTGTCGTGGCCCTATAGGAGCTCCACCGAAGGCCCCAGTGGCAAGGTTCCCATGGCGGCCCCGCCCCATCTCGGCATACCCCTCACGCGCTCCGTGCCCCCAAAGGGAGCTCCACCGAAGGTCCCAATGGCTGCGTTCGCATGCGCCCGCCGCGCCCAGTTCCGGCACACCACTCACGCGCTCCGTGGCCCCACAAGGAGCTCCACCGAAGATGATATCCACAAATGCGTTGCTCACAGCTGCATATGGTGTGGTCCTTCGCCAGGCCATTTTTTTTCCACACGGGCATCGCGCGTGGCGCGGCGCAAGCACCGCGGGCTACCTACCATCTACCCTGGTCTACTCTACAAACCCGGTTGTACTCTACCATCTATCCTGCCTGCTCTACTCTGTTCTACTCTACCCTACTCTACCCCACCCTACCCTACCCGACCCTAGCCTACTCTACGCTACGCTACTCTACTCTGCTCTACTCGAATCGAATCTGCCCTACTCTGATCATCGGCTTTTCTCTTCTCTACTCTACTGGAAACCACTGCAATATCAGAGGAGGCCATTGTAACAACAGAGGGAGCCATTGCAATAGCAGAGGACGCCGTTGTAATAGCAGAGGCAACTCCACCCAATTCTACCCTACCCTATCCCAATACACTCTACTCTTCACTACGATCCTCTACTTAATGCTATTATGCTCTGTTCTAATCTACTCTACTCTACCCTACTCTGCTCTACTCTACTCATCTGCTCTTCTCTACCCTACTCTACTGAAAGCCATTGCACTCGCCGAGGAAGCCACTGCAATAGCAGAGGAAGCCTTTGCAATTGCAGGCGAAATTATTGCTATTCCAAACGACACTTTACCCTACCCTTGCCTGCCCTACTCCACTCCACTCTACTCTACTCTTCTCTTACCTACTCTACTCTATTTAACTCTACTCTATTCTACTCTACTCTACTCGTGCTCTATTATACCCCTTCTGCTCCACACTTTTCTACTCTACTCTACGCTGCTTCGCTCTACTCTACTCTCATCTACCCTCTTCTGCTCGAGTCTACTTATCTACTCCTCCCTACTCTTCTCTACCAGAAGCCATTGCAATAACACATGAAGCCATTACAACCGCAAGGGAAGCGCTTGCATCAGCAGGGGAAACCATTGCAATAACACATGACGCTCTTGCGATAACACGGGGAACCATTGCAATACCAAACGGCACTTGACTCTACTCTAATCGGCTCTACTCTGTTCTACATTTACTATTATATACGCTCCTCTGCCCTACTGTATTTTGCTTTGCTCTACTCTACTCTGCTTTGCTTTACATGCTCTTCTCTACACAGCTCTCCTCTACTCTACTCACCAACTCTTTTCTAGTGCACCCCGCTGGAAGCCATTGCAATATCAGGGGGAGCCAATGCAATAACAGATGAAGCCATTGCAACATTATGTGACCCATTTGCAATAGCATAGGGCGCCATTGCAATACCAGAGGACGCCACTGCAAGAGCAGAGACAACAATTTCGGTAACTCTACCCTATTGTACTCTACTTTATTTGACTCCTATTCTACTCTAGTCTATTCTAACTTGCCCTACTCTACTCTATTCTACTCTGCTCTACTCTACTCGTTTCTGCTCTACTCTGTTCATATACTCTTCTCTACTCGACTGGACACCTTGATAATAGCAGAAGAAACCAATGCGATCAGAGGAAGCGATTACAATATTAGAGGAACCCTGTACAATAACAGAGGAAGTCATTGCAATCGGTCGGGGCAAAATAGGGATGGACCACGATGCCAGTTCCCTATTGCTGAGCAAGGGCTTCGATAGGCAAGCCTACCTTGAGAAAGAAGAGCTCTCGCCTGGACGCCGCGCACACTCGTCTCTCAACTTCCTTAGCGCCGTGCGCATCCGTTCCACCATAATGCAGGTGCTAGGAGGATGGAGATGGGGTGGGTGGGTGGGTGGGTGAGTGGCTGTGGGGTGGCCGGGTCAGAATGGGGCTCTCGCCAGATCGCCACGCACATTCGTATGAAACGGTCGCAACAAGTACACGGATGGAGGGCGGTTACCTGTTACCATGGGGCTCTCGCCTGAGCGTCGCGCTCAATTGTCTTAACCGTTTGCAATCGTTACAGTGTTGGGGAACGGTTCCTTTTCAGAGCAACGCTTTCGCTAGAGGCCTCCTTACAACCAAAAACCAATATAGTGAACATATGTAACAGCTGCACAGATGGAGAGCGGCTCCTTTTCAAGCTGGGGCTCTGGCTTAAGGCTTCCTCGAAGTTCATGACGAGAGCTCATTGCCAGAAATGTCAGCTGGTGCAACAATTACACAGATAAGCCTGGTCCTTTAGCAACGAGGAGACATCGCTGCACCTCGTTGAACTGCATGATCACACCTTTTCGTATCTCTCACTTTTCGCTAGAAGGATGCAAATCAGTTCCAACTCAACACGAGCGTCTAGTCTGAATGGCGGGCCGATCGGGTGCTGGTCTTTGAAAGAGACGCTTCTTGTAGAAGAAAGGATTGTAAAACCCTGAGATAAGGAACCTTCGGACGGAAGGGTGTATTGCAGTATCGTTCAAACATCTTGGGTGGACCCTCACCTCATCCTTCTCCCTTTTCTCTTCACCTCCCTCCAAACTCTTCCTTCCAGTGCGCGGGAGCGCAAAACCTGTCGCCACCGCTGTCGCCAACGTCACCGCCGCCGTTGGCAGCACCGCCGCTGCCACCGCTGCCGCCGCCGAGGCCGTGCT